TATCGGTTTGTTGTTCAAAAACGGTATAAGTGGGGACATTTATGTTATTGTCAACGTCTAGTGATGTCATTTAGCTGCAATTTGATATATAGCTTTATATGATTTACGTAAAAATGACTTTGCAATTTTGACTTATACTGGACTAGTGACATTCGGCCGATTTGGCGAGTTCAACCCCTTGTCTATATATTATATATACAGTATATTTTTTTTCTAGAATTAGTTTTTTACACTATCCCAACACTGTGCTGGGTCCCTGCGATTTTATCTACATAATAAATAACGTGCCCATGAGCCAAACTATAGTCAATCGTTCTAAAACTTAACCGTTGAGGGAGGTGACAAACTGAGGCAGTGTCACTTACTTCATTTGCTTCGCCTCTGTTGAAGTTCGGCTCCGCCTTAAATTGTCATATAAAATTTAATATTATGCTCATTTATTCTTCGTTGACGGGGTAGGAGGGAACCAGTACAACTTTGATCAATATCACTTGTCGAATCATTAAAAGCCTAAACCACGCCCACTATCAGAGAGGCGGTTCTCACCCAACCGTTAAGAAAGTACAACAAACTGGTTACGCTACGGTCTGTAAGGGGAGATCAGTGCAGAATAGTTTGTCCTCAAAATCATTCGAACATTATGCAATTCGTACCAATATTTAAATGGGTATATTCTCGGCACATATTGTCTTGAATTTTTTTAAGTATACCAATCATTTCAATTTTATTTGTTATCCAATTTATTTTGATTCGGCCAGACCTTTCAGTCTTTGTCGCAACAGACAAACATTTAAGAATTTCAGACCTGACATTATTTTGTGAATTTAGGATTAGGTTCTACTTTTTCACAAAAGTATGCAACTTTATTATTAAACAACAAGCACATACCAAGAACATGGAGAAAAAAATGATTTGTGCTTGGATATTCAACTGTAATAGAGAACGATTTTCAATGCTGATTGACTGTTCACATCATTTGGCGGCGTCTTTGATGTGCAGCATCAACATTTAACTTGTTCTGCTTTGTTATGCTATACTAAGCTATGCTCTGCTATGTTGTGTTATGAACTTTATTTGATTTGTTTTGAAATGTATGCTTTGTAATGAACTTATGTTTCGTTATGTTATGTTATGTTATGTTATGTTATGTTATGTTATGTTATGTTATGTTATGTTATGTTATGTTATGTTATGTTATGTTATGGTAATGGTAATGGTATGGTATGGTATGGTATGTTATTATGTTATGTTATGTTACGTTAGTTACGTTATGTTACGTTATATAGATCATATTAAATGAGTGTAAGCTTAATAGAGAAATCTACTAAACTTAATGAAATTATATTATTGTCGTGCCGTGCTGTGTTGGTGTGTTTTACAATGTAATTAAACCGCTTTACCTTCACCCAGATTGACGCGTATTGATGTATGTTGTGATTCGCATATACTGTGCTGTTATGCTATGATATAAGTTGTGTTGTGTTGCTATGTGTGCATGTATTGTAGTTAAATGCATAAAACTGAATCTTAAAAAAATGTTTCCGTTTTTTTCCAGAATTTATGTTCTCATACACATGTTTGCTGTGGACAAGTAGGTAAGACACTTCACTATCAAATGGTGAAACAAATAGGTTTATGATGAACTTACTGCTTCATAAAGTGCAATGCTTAATAATCAAAACAGTCTTAGTATCAACAAACGTTTACATAATCGCAACATTTTTGCATATCACTTAACTGGGGAGGAATTGATATATTTTCCAATGTAACTGAATTTATCGAACAAATTAGAATGTAAACTAGCAAGATGCAATTGATAACAATTGACTCATATTTGAAAACAAATGTATTTTCTGTATATTACTTTTTTATCATTTAATTTTTTTTTGTGAAATATTACAAAAAAATGGCTTGTACATGTAAAAAAGTTAATAACCAAATATAAACAATGCTTCATTTGTTATACACAGATGGGAATACCTGTACAACAGATTTTTATTGGAGCAGTAACCCTTGCTTACTTTGTGAATGTCATCGTACTTGCGAATGGTGATGACCAGTTGATATGTACCGGGAACACATTCTACAAAGTGAAGAAAAATGGGCAAGCGTTTTGTAAGGAATGTCCGTCGTGTTTTGGTGGAGGAATAGGCTGGAATACAACTGTAAATATAAAAATAATGTGACCTTTTTATATCTGATTGTCTTAATATGTTGTAGAATCAGACTTCTATCTTGCTACGTTCTTAACTACCGTCTGTTAAAGAATTTGAAAAATGTTTTTGTTATTTGTAACGTTAATTATGTTGCTGTTATTTATTGAATATTTTGAATAGTAAATATTTCTGTCTTATAATAGCGTTAAATATGAATAATGATTTTGTTGTCTTATAATAGCATAAAATATAAATAATAAGTAGTGATTTTGTCTTATAATATCTTAAAAAAAGAATGATATGGTTTTTTGTCTTATAAAAGCATAAAATAAGAATAATAGGTATTGCTTTTTTGCCTTATAATAGCTTAAGATATGTTTTGAAAGACTTTAAAGATGTGTTTATCTATTAATTGTATCATAGTTAGGGGACCTTTCTGTTGAAAAAGTGTCAGAGTTAAATCGTATACATATACATGCACAGTGCGGTAACTGGAGTGCAGGTATCAGTTACCCGCACTCCAGATAATGCCCGTTGATTGGTTCATTTTTGCTGGGGTTTACTTTTTTTAAACAAACAATTTTTTAAATCAATTTAGTATTTCTATTGTTTTATAACGATGATTTAGCAAGATCTTATCTATTATTATATATATTGAAGACAATTTTTAATGTATGACAATAATATTGTAAAGTGAGTTTTAAGGATCTTTAAGTTATATTGTATTAATATGTAAAAATAATTCCATAATTTATACTTTTAATTAGTTAATGCAAAATATTTTTAATGTTCATAATCCTGTTCATTTATATTGTTTTAGACATATATGATTGATGTAAAGCGCCTTTGAACATTTTAATGAAAAGGGCGCTATATAAATGTGGTATTTATTATTATTATTATATTGTGACGTAGAGAAAGGGAAAGGGGCAGAAATGTCATATTCAAATGCCCGTTCATTGGTTAATTTTTTCTGGGGTTTTATATTATGACAACAGGGAACGTGCTGTCATGTTTGACTATGATACAAAAGAGAAAGAACACCAAAACACTCGGCAATCTGATTTATACTCGGGGGCTACGCCCCCTCGTACAAATCAGATAGCCTCGTGTTTCGGTGCTCTTTATATTACATATACATACAGCTGGTAATAACATACATGCCATGTAAACCAAGTTTCAATTTGTTCGAAAGTATAGTATAAAACATGTAGTCTGCTTCTATTTACAAAACAACAACAACAACTTTTTCAGGAAGCAAGGATTAAGGATGAGCATGGTTTCAGGTCGTGTTACAAGTGTGCGGTATGTAAACCGGGAACATTCCGTGAACTGGGATCATATGATTCGAAATGCGAGCCGTGTGGCCTTGATTGTGTTGCTAAGAAAAGGTATGGTTCGGTTAGATGTGGAGGAGGGAGTCCCGGACATTGTGGAGAGTGTTTTACTGGGTAATAATATACGTACTAATATATTGGATATCTTTATTATTTTTGAAGCAATTTGCACGCGATTTTCGTGCTTGTGTAGGTATTTACCTGAATAGAATTATTGAACTAAAACCGTCCGATTTAAGTATGGAAACATATAAGTAACATTACTTTTTGAAGCACCCTCGTAAGTCATTATTACTGTCAATCAAATTATTAAGTGACCATTTTAAAAGTATTATTGTTACCTTATTATTTATGTATTGCATGCCGATGTTACAGGTACTACGCCACTTCGAAGGAATCTAACAGTAGATGTACCCTGAAGCCAACAGAAGGTATGTACAAATAAATTAAGATTGAAACATGCGAACATCCATTGTTCACAACTATATAAATAGATACACGTACCTTTGTTATGTTCAACCAAGAGCATCGCGGGATGTCAGCGGAGGAAAAGTGAGGAAAATATCTTTGAACAACTTTTAAAGAAACCAATGTAACGATTATTTTAGTGATAGATGTAGGGTCATCATTGCGATTTTGTCTTTAAAATTTACGTCAAAACACCAGGGAAATTTTCTCAAAATGCCCCATTTCCCTATTTATTTTAGGTAATGAAGATGTGAAAACAGTAACGGAGAAAACAACAACTTTGGAACACAGGTTGGAAGAGAACAGACGTCAGCCTAATCCTTTAGCAAACGTTCCCATATGGATTCCTAGTGGCATTCTGTTTATTTCATTCCTAGCAGTAATAGCTTGTGCGATTATCTCTGCACGTTGGCAGAAGAGAAATAAAACATCGGCACAGAGTAATATAGGTATGTTAAAGAGTAATTTACATTTTCAAATTCACGAAGATGTATTTGTCTTCGTTCCTTCCATTCATTTGAATGTTTTTGGTTTTGATTTTGTTTGTTTTGTTGCTTTTATGTGTTGTGTGTTTTGCTATTGTTATTGGACTTTACTGTTTATTTTTTTTAATGTTGTTTTTAGTTTTGTTTGTTCAATTTTTCTGTTTGTTGTTTTTATTTCTTTGTTGTTTGTGGGGGGGATGTTGTTGTTTGTTTGTTTTTGTTGGTTTTTTAGAGGGTTTGGGTTTTTTGTGTTGTTTTGTTTCTTTGTTGTTGTTGTTGTTTGGTGGTGGTAGTAGGGTTTGGGGTTTGTTGTTGTTGTTGTTGTTTGTTTTATTTGTATTTTTAGAAATTCTTATAATCTAATGTATGGCAAAATTGCAATTTACACAATGTTTCACCTACTATTATGTTATATTTGACTAGCTGTATTTATGAATCGACGCTTTCATTTTGGATGTTATTTTTTTTCATGTTTCCAAAAGCATATGACTCTAAAAGGGCTCTGATAAGCAATGGAAGTAGTTTAGATGGAGAAAACTTGGAAACAGACAGTAGGAAACAGATGGTGATAACGATGTCAAGGTGAGGGGAGAAACGTCCGGAAGCAGTAACCATCAATGAGATAGGTAGGTACTAGCCATTCAGTGGAAATTAAGGCCTTGAATAAAATGTGATGAACTGATTAAAAGCTCCACAGTTTGTGTCCCTTAGCACCAGACTATGCACAAAATTGACAACCTTAAAAATCAACCATCACGGATGATGAAAAAATATTTAACAGATCCGGATGAATTGTCAAACCTCGCTCTAAATTTAAAACATGTATATTGACACACACACTTCTTAAACCGCCCTTGTTTCATTCATATATATTCCTTAAAAATGCGTACTTGTTTGTTCTTGTATAACGAGACGATAAAATATTAATGGAACAGCATTAAATATTAATGGAACAGCGTGAAAGTCATTAGTTTTAATTGCTTTTATGAAACCCCTATTTAATTAAACATATCGTTACAGTATATAAGTGCTGAAGAGGTTGAATACTAGTAATATATTTTTTGGTAAACTTAGCATACATTGCACTTCTAAACGTATAGAGTTACACTAAATAGTTAGCTGAACTTGAAATACACATGTTCATAATAGAAATAATGATATGGTATAAATAACTAACAAATAAAAGCATTATCTTTCAAACAAAAATACGGTAGTACCATTATTTATTGCGATATTGTATGGGTTTTTTTATAATAATAATTCTAACTTCTTTCCTAACAGAGGCTATGGGCTTTAGTTCGTCTTCTAAACGGCTGGAATCCCCGAACTTTGACAGAATTCTACACAAAGACGATAAAAACGTTAGATGTCGTTGCCAACAACATACATGGTGAGAGGAGACATGAAATGTTTGAAACCTACCTTAAAACTACCTAAATCCAAGACCTCGCCTGAGGAAGAGAGAAGTTTCATAAGAATTTATGTTCCTTTCCTGCTTACATTCTGGAAGTACTGAAAATATGGCTTCAATATGCGGACAAAGAGGCTACCCTGAAAAATCTTTGTAAAGCTTTAGAAATGGCAAGTTTTAATGATGTTGTAGTCAAGGTCCTAGATTTGCCAGAAAACCAGCCAGGCCTGGGTAATGTAGATGAATGTTAAAGATATATAAGATTTTACACGAGTTGTCATTTGATAGCTAACATTAAACAAATCTGATAAAGTATTATATAAATGGCGCCTTTGTGGAGCTATATCGCATTGTTCGGACAACTTTAACTCTTATCATTGTAGATATCTTAAATGGACTTGTCTGTCTTTCAACATTTACATAATTATTCATCAAATTTAGTCAAAATTTCAAAATATTTACTGACTACATTAGTGCATACCATGATCCGACGGCTCGAGTGTCCCGGTAGGTTCTGGTCTGCACGGGTAGGATGAGTAGAATCTGTTGCCACCAGGATCCGGTTGTTCAAACATTGGTTAGTGTTAATTTTAACCAACGTTTTGAACAAACCGGTCCAGCAGGCCAAGGGTTAAGTTAATGTAAGTCCATAGCGTCAACGAATGTAAGATTTTTATCACATTATATGCCAGAACATTCCGAAAACAACAACATCTTAATGACAGTTTCACGACATATAATTATATTTAACGTTTGTGATATAAAGAAAATGGTTATGTTAGATTAAAACACAAGGCGTCATATGATTAATTTATCGTTCTGGTAGTTGATACAAAATATTATGTTTAAAGTTCTAACAATAAGATAATGATTGTAGGTTTTTTCTTGCTATTGAATCAATTACAGTATTAAAAAATAATTAAAAAGTCATTACATGTATTTGTTAACAATTTTGAAAAGAAATAAACATTTTCTTATCGTTATTAGACTGAATAGGGCTAAAATATTTTTGGTCGTATGTTATCATTTGTTAAAATATGGCTACAAAAATATTTTGATGTTATCTTTTGCTTCAAATATAGGACTAAAACTGTTGTTTTTATTATGGCCCGTTGTTATAACAAAACAATCATTATCTAAATTTTCCAAGTTTGGTCACTTTTTGCTCAGGCTATAACACATAAGAATTCCATTAATTGTTTTTTATCCAATTTGTAAATATATGATATTACTATTATTTATCAGTGTATATTATATTTAGTCAGGAAATTATTCATTTGTTAATAATTTACGTAGTTTATATATGTATTAGATATGTGCACTATCATTGATGGATTTTAGTTTGACTAATATTTGATATTTAGTAGTGATGATTTCGTTTAGTACTATGTGATTGTTAGTTAGTACTGTAAGTACACATTGTTCAGTTGTTTATAGCTTTACTCACTGCATCTAGTCGAAAATCTTTACGTTACTTTATTTCATCTTTTCTTTGCTCAATATAACTCAATCCATAATTTACAGCAGCAATGTCCCTTTCGAATATAGAATCTCATTCCGGTTTATTTTATTGTTTGTTATATTAATAAAGTAGGATGTCCCTCTAAGTACCGCGGTACTTATTTTTGAACTTATTTTTTTCAGCTAATTGAACAATTAAAATTAATACTCTTACGGTCATTTGCTCAGATTGACATGTTTCTAAGATCTGCTTCGTATGCAAATTTGTCTATGACCAGATTAGTACCACGTTGTCATCGGCAATACGGTATATCAGCGGAAATTACTTAATTTACAATAACAAATTTTAATAATTATGTCTCTATTTGATATTTAACCATAAAAAATATCATTGATTATGAATGTCAATAAGATCTGTTTAAATATGAATGTATTTCATTTATTAAGTAAATTACTGAAATTGTAGTAAATAAAATAGATGTACAGAGTTACTCAGAGTTGTCTGTACTGATACTTCTGCTTGTTTTATTTTTTGTAAAAGTTTATATTTTTATATATTTTTTCTTTTTTATGCAAAATATCCCTAATTAACGTTTTGAAATTCTCTGTTACGAAATATATATTTGTTAACAAGATATACATGTATATACTCGATGTTTTATGCTCTTTTTTTGTTCCTAGTTTGTATTTTTGTACAGAAATTGAATCATATCATTTGAAATAATAAAAAGTTTGAAATGATAAATTGTTGTTGATTTATTATGTAAGTAATATAAACTTATAAGAACTTTGCGCCTTTACTGTGATGATTAACATCTGAATATCATTGTTGGTTGTACGGGTATGTATGTGTGCGTTTGTGGGAACGTGTGTGTGTGTGTGTGTGTGTGTGTGTGTGTGTGTGTGTATGTGCGTATGTATCCTTAATGAGGGACAGCTGCCCATACATGCACACAATGTCGCTTTGGCATAGAGGACGAACCCCGGACTTGTTACCAGTTCTTATGTTGGAATCATAGAGTGGTGATAATTTTCCTCCGTGCAACTGCAACCAAAGAGAAGAATTTCTAGTCAAAAGTAGATCACTGTATGTGGCGGTCAATTAGCACCTAAATATACAATAACAAGTAACATTTATGAAGTAGGTTTCTTTGATAAGGGTTGTTGGTTCCAACCAAATAGTCTGCCATACAGGCCCTCTGTACAAACTAGGGGCTCACACACCCTAGTAACCTTTCTTGTCATTCCTGTCTACTGATTATGGTCACTCTCCTCGGATTCAGACAGGATACCGGTACCTGCAGTACGCAGAATAAAGTTTACTGTTTTCTTACATTCTTGGTGCCCAAGCTATACCTCGAAAACCGCAGGGAAGAAAGAGTGAAGAACGATACCGGAATTATCCATAGAATTTTACACGTATGCATTTCGATTTTCAAATTTCTTATTATCTATGTCCAGAAAAGTAATATATATCCATTACTTATGTTTGCGCTTTATTTCGACTTTTCAAATGAATCAAACAGAAACATCAATATCTGACTTCAGCTCCATTCCAAATACAAGGGGAAAAGTCTGTGCAATTGCTGATGTACTATATGCCCTGTGCAAATAAATGATTTCCAGAGCACGCTCAATTTTGATCCATGGGAACTGCGAGGCTATGTTTTTAACCGTGAAAAGAACATTTTAAAAGAAGTAAGCTTTTTATACAAGTCTACGAAAGAAAGCCTAATAGTGTACCGCCTCCGTGGTCGAGAGGTTAAAGTGGATGACTTCTAATCCAGTTACCTCTCTGGCGTGGGTTCGATTCCCGGGAGATGCTTTGGTAGTTTAGCACGGAGGAAGGTAGTCTAGTACTGGTGTAACTCTCCATGAAACTACTCGCCTATATGACTGAAATACTGTTGGGAAAAGGCGTAAGATGAAACAAACAAACAAACGAACAAGCCTAATAGTGTCAAATAAAATAAAAAAAAATGCAAAGGCTTATAACGCGAATAAAGGCATTATTTCGCGAATCAAAAGGCGTAATAACGCGAATAAAGGCGATATTTTCTGAACCAATCAATCGAAAGGATTTCGGAATGTTTGGCTTCTTAACTCTTCCTTTTCTTATTATTGAATGACATTGACACGTAACCGCTAGACATTATCAATATTAACCTAACACGACACAAACAAATCATTGGACATGCTACACTTTAATATGTTGTAAAATTCCATAGTAAAATACTACGCCATAAGAAGTAGTTCTGTTTATAAACATGTATTGACATTTTGTTTATGGTGACGCAAACCGTAGTAAGCACACTACGTTGAAATAATTTATGGGTTTTCTCTGGTTGGAGAATTCTCAACTGCGAGTTTATAAAAAATTTCAACATGAAAAAAAATCAAATTTTGCAGCAGTGTATCCGATACTTCGGTTGTGCATTTATTTTGTTGGGGCTGAAAGTTAATGTTTTCCATTTGCAACAGGAATCAAGTCTGCCAATAAATTTGCTTGTTGCCAGGTGGCCGCTTAGAAAGCGGTCAGACAGTAGTATAGGGCCTGGTCAGTCGATGTGAAGTAAACTGGTGGCAAAGGCTATACGGTTCCAGTCGTATAAATATAAGATCAAGATATGTCATTTATAAAAAAAAACTTTTATATTTTGTCAAATTGTAAATGAAACAGGTTCACTTGAGTACAAATAAAACATATATCGTCTGCCATGCACACGTACCGATTGTAAATTTCCATAGCTTTATATTAGCTTCGTCCTATAAATTAACATGCTAGAACGTTTGGTTGTTTCTAAATATATGTACAAATATAGACTCATACGTAAAATTGGAATAGTTTCTTATTTATATCTAAAGGAGTGAAAAAAGAGTTACCAATGGTAAACAAACTTTTGGCAAGTGATCAACTTTTTAAACCGCTTTACCTTCATCTGGGCGAAAGAAATCTCATTGACGCGTAGTGATATGTTGTGATTCATTCGTTTGTAGTATTTTGCAATAATCAGTCAGCGTGTTATAGGATTTTAGAAGGTAGGCGTAATTTATGTTTAACATTGTATTTCATAATAATCACTATTTTCATTGTTTATATATTGTACGGTCAACAACTATTTGCAAAATTTAACTAACTTGACCCATATATATATAATTATCAAATTAAGTGACAAATTATTTTGAAAAATTTCAAAATAATTTCAATTTTTTTAAAGAACGGAATGAAACTAGAAATAGTGAGTATGACAAAAATATATTTATTTATGTTACAAAGTCTAAAACATGATCAATTCGGCTGTAAAATCATTGTGTCGCAGTTTTAATTTATGCAAGACATGTCATGTGACTTCATTCATTCGTTAATATATCTACCAAGTATCATAAAATCCTACTGATTTCCATGTTATTTTAATGGCTCATAACTTATTGAACACTTTTTGGCCAATATTCTATTATATTTTAGGTAAATAAGTTATTGACAATGATATGATTTCATTTGTAACATTTCCTCCGACAAATACTTTGCATTCCATGAAACTAGGTCAATTTTGTTTACAAACAGTGGATGATGCAATGCAAAAAAGTCTTTTTGTCTTATATTAACTGGTTGTATGAGAAAAAAAAGATTTCTGACACATTTCGTTCTGTATTTACTATAAAAATGTCTGTAAAACATTTTAATTTCAGTGTATATGAAATATTTGCTGAGGAAATTTCCATACGAGTAAAGTTGGCGAGAATCCAATAATAAATCACGAGACTTGGGTTCCCATATATTCTTAAAATAGAAACAAATAAAAATATATTATTAAGTAGGCCTATCACGTGACACAAATACTAACCGGACATTTTTACTGTGTTTTCGTTCAATTATAATTTAATTGAATGTTTTTATATATCATCCTACAATGTACTGCAGTATATTTATACTGTATAGAGGGTACATTTTGGATATTATCAATAATTTTGATAGAATTTCAAGTTCCTGTGGTTTTGGATTTTGTGTTTGTTATTCAACTTATTGTTTTGATGATTTAGGCTAAGGTCACATAATTTATTACGTTGTCCTGCTATATACAAAGTCATGTTGTGTTGCTATACTATGTATGTATTATAGTATGTATACGTGTATGTTACATCGCCATATGTGTTCACGTTTAAAATGCATTTAAAACTGATTTTTTTTTAAAATGTTTCCGGTTGTTTTTTTTTTCAGAATTAGTGTTACCATATACATGTTTGCTGTGGACAAGTAGGTAAGACACTTCAATGTTTTAAAAATTTCATCAAGTAGTCAAATGAATCGCGTTTCATAAAGTACGAGCTTATTATCAAAACATTCCGAGTATCAACAAAAATTTATATCACGGTTCAGAACTGTTCACTATTTAGGGGAGAAGATGTGTAAGCGGCCGGATAGCTTAGTCGGTAGAGTCGCCGAACGGTATTCCGAGGGTCCCGGGTACGAGTTCCGGTCAGGCTGCACATTTTTCTCACCCTGTGACATTTGGCGCCCAACGGGGACGTGACTGATATAGCTCAGAGTTTAATTTACACTGCTCTGATACTCTGTGAAATTCGAGGTCGAATTTCAATAAAGGAGGGGAGTATGTCACGATTCAGAACTGTTCACAAGTTAGGGGAGAAGATGTGTTTACAAGTGGCCGGATAGCTTAGTCGGTAGAGCCGCGGAATGGTATTCCGAGGGTCCCGGGTTCGAGTCCCTGTCAGACTGCACATTTTTCTCACCCTGTGACATTTACATAACCGCAACATTTTTGCATCTCAATTTTGTAAATTCGACAGGAATTGATTTATTTTCCAATTTAACTGTTGTATGTACAATATATCGAGAACAAATTAAATATTCAGTCGATAACAACTGACTCATATTTGAAAATATATATGTATGTACTATATATTACTTTTGATCATTTAAAATTTGTTTGTCAAATATTATTAAAATATGGCATGTATGATAAGTTAATAATGAAATATAAACAATGCGTTATTTGTTATACACAGATGGGAATACCTGTACAACAGATTTTTATTGGAGTAGTATCCCTTGCTTACTTTGTGAATGTCATCGTACTTGCGAATGGTGATGACCAATTGATATGTACGGGGTACACATTCTACAAAGTGAAGAAAAATGGGCAAGCATTTTGTAAGGAATGTCCATCATGTATTGGTGGAGGAATAGGATGGAATATAACTGTAAATATAAAAATAATGTGACCTTTTTATATCTGATTGTCTTAATATGTTGTAGAATCAGACCTGGAAATCTAGTTCATTTATATTTGGTTTCTATCTTGCTACGTTCTTAACTACCGTCTGTTAAAGAATCTGATCATTTATTTGAAAAATGTTGTCGTTAATTATGTTGCTGTTATTTATTGAATATTTTGAATAGTAAATATTTCTGTCTTATAATAGCCTTAAATATGAATAATGATTTTTTTGTCTTATAACAGCATAAAATATAAATAATAAGTAGTGATTTTGTATTATAATATCTTAAAAAAAGAATGATAAGGTTTTTTTTTTGTCTTATAAAAGCATAAAATAAGAATAATAGGTATTTCTTTTTTGCCTTATAATAGCTTAAAATATGTTTTGAAAGACTTTAGAAATGTGTTTATCTATTAAATATACAGACAGCTGGTAATAACATACATGTCATGTAAAGCAAGCTTCAAGTTATTCGAAAGTATAGTATAAAACATGTAGCCTGCTTCTATTTACAAAACAACAAAAACAACAACTTTTTCAGGAAACAAGGATTAAAGATGAGCATGGTTTCAGGTCGTGTTACAAGTGTGAGAAATGTAAACCGGGAACATTCCGTGTACTGGAATCATATGATTCGAAATGCGAGCCGTGTGGCCTTGATTGTGTCGCTAAGAACAGGTATGGTTCCGTTAGATGTGGAGGAGGGAATCCCGGACATTGTGGAGAGTGTTTTACTGGGTAATAATATACGTACTAATAATTGGATATCTTTTTTTTAAGCAATTTGCATTCGATTTTCGTGCTTGTGTAGGTATTTATCTGAATAGAATTATTGAACCAAAACTGTCCGATTTAACACTTAAGTAACATAACTTTTTGAAGCACCCTCGTAAGACATTACTGAATTTAATCATTACTGTGAATATTTAGTGACCATTAACCGTATTATTGTTACCTTATTAATTATGTATTGCACGCCGATGTTACAGGTATTACGCCACTTCGAAGGAATCTAACAGTAGATGTACCCTGAAGCCAACAGAAGGTATGTACAAATAAATTAAGATCGGAACATCCATTGTTCATAGCTATTTTAATAGATACATGTACCTTTGTTATGCTCAATCAAAAGCATCGTGGGATGTCAGCGGAGGAAAAAGTGAGGAAAATATCTTTGAACAACTTTTAAAGAAACCAATGTAACGATTATTTTAGTGATAGATGTAGGGTCATCATTGCGATTTTGTCTTTAAAATTTACGTCAAAACACCAGGGAAATTTTCTCAAAATGCTCCATTTATTTATTTATTTTAGGTGATGAAGATGTGAAAACAGTAACGGAGAAAACAACAACTACGGAACACAGGTTGGAAGAGAACAGACGTCAGCCTAATCCTTTAGCAAACGTTCCCATATGGATTCCTGGTGGAATTCTGTTTATTGCATTCCTAGCAGTAATAGCTTTTGGGATTATCGCTGCTCTTTGGCAAAAGAGAAATAGGACATCGGCACAGACTGATATTGGTATGCTTAGAGTAATTTACATGTTCATATTCACTGAGATGATTGTGTGTGTTTGCGTGTGTGTGCGTGTGTGTATGTTTGTGTTCGTCCGATTCTTTCTTTGTTTCTTCCGTTTATTTCGATGTTTTCGGTTTTGTTGGATTTTTTATTGTTTTGTTGTTGTTGTTTCTTCGATGGTGTGGTTAATGTTGTTTTGTTCTATTTTTATTTTGTGAAATTTTTATAATCTTTGTATCGCAAAATTTCCATTTACATAATATTTCACCTATTATTATGTTAAATTTCACTAGCTGTGTTTCATTTCGGATGTGTTTTGTGTTGTTTTTTTCATGTTCCAAAAGCATATGACTCGAAAATTCGTCTGATAAGCAATAGCAGTAGATTAGATGAAGAAAACTTGGAAACAGATGGTGACCACGGTGTCAAGGCCAGGGGAGAACTTCCGGTAGCCGTAACTTTGAATGAGATTGGTAGGTGAAAATTTAACTGAAATAGTCTTAATATAAATCAGAATCAAATAAACATTAAGAACAAGAAAAAACAATAAGTGGAAGTTAAGTCCTTAAATAAAATGTGATGCACTGATATATAAAAGCTCCACAGTTTGTGTCCCTTAAAGATCCTGTAACTTTATGGTTTTATATCATACATATGTTCCAAAAAAGCATTATTTGTAAAGATATTACCGAATTTACATTTCATGTAAATAAAGGGAGGTACATGTAATTCGAAATTTATTTTCTCTAAAATCCAAGTCAATTTTTTCAATAAGAAATGAAAGCATACATTTTAATGATCACATATAATGCGTTTAAACATTTGCAGTACATATTTAACATTATTTTGGATGTTTGAAAATTATTTTAGAATAATAATGTTATACATATATAAAACTTCACTTACATACAGGATCTTTAAATAAGCACTTGACTATGCAGAATTCAAATAGATCACAGATGATGAAAAAATGTAACAGATTCGGATTAAATGTCCACCCTGACCTTAATTTACGTGTATATTGGTACACACTTCTAAACCGCCCTTGTTTCATTCATATATATATATCCTTCAAATGCGTACTGGTTAGTTCTTGTATAACGAGACGATAAAATATTAATGATACAGCATAAAATATTAATGGAACAGCGTGATAAGTCATTAGTTTTAATTGCTTTTATGAAACTCCTATTAATTAAACATATCGTTACAGTATATAAGTGCTGAAGAGGTTGAATACTAGTAATATATTTTTGGTAACTTAGCATACATGCACTTCTAAACGTATAGAGTTACACTAAATAGTTAGCTGAACTTGAAATATACATGTTCATATAGAAATAATGATATGGTATAAATAACTAACAAACTAGCATTATCTTCAAACAAAATACGGTAGTACCATTATTTATTGCGATATTGTATGGGTTTTTTTATAATAATTCTAACTTCTTTCCTAACAGAGGCTATGGGCTTTAGTTCGTCTTCTAAACGGCTGGAATCCCCGAACTTTGACAGAATTCTACACAAAGACGATAAAACGTTAGATGTCGTTGCCAACAACATACATGGTGAGAGGAGACATGAAATGTTTGAAACCTACCTAAAACTACCTAAATCCAAGACCTCGCCTGAGGAAGAGAAGTTTCATAAGAATTTATGTTCCTTTCCTGCTTACATTCTGGAAGTACTGAAAATATGGCTTCAATATGCGGACAAAGAGGCTACCCTGAAAAATCTTTGTAAAGCTTTAGAAATGGCAAGTTTTAATGATGTTGTAGGCAAGGTCCTAGATTTGCCAGAAAACCAGCCAGGTCTGGGTAATGTAGATGAATGTTAAAGATATATAAGATTTTACACGAGTTGTCATTTTGATATGGGCTAACATTAAACAAATCTGATAAAGTATTATATAAATGGCGGCTTTGTGGAGCTATATCGCATTGTTCGGACAACTTTAACTCTTACCATGGTAGATATCTTAAATGGACTTGTCTGTTTTTCAACATTTACATAATTATTCATCAAATTTAGTGGAAATTTCAAAATATTAACTGACTACATTTCTATTAGTACATACCATGATCAGACAGCTCGAGTGTCCCGGTAGGTTATGGTCTGCACGGGTAACATGAGTAGAATCTGTTGCCACCAGGATCCGGTTGTTCAAACATTGGTTAGTGTTAATTTTAACCAACGTTTTGAACAACCCGGTCCAGCAGGCTAAGGGTTAAGTTAATGTAAGTCTATAGCGTCAACGAATGTAAGATTTTTATCACATTATATGCCAGGACATTCCGAAAAAAAACATCTTAATGACAGTTTCACGACCTATAATTATATATTTAACGATATAAGGAAAATGGTTATGTAAGATTGAAACACAAGGGTCATATGATTAATTTATCGTTCAGGTAGTTGATACAAAATAGTATGTTTATACATGTAGTTCTAACAATAAGAAAAAATGATTATAGTTTTTTTTTTGCTATTTAATTAATTTCAGTATTTAAAAAATATTACATGTATTAACAGCTATATAAGAAATAAAACATTTCTTATCGTTATTAGACTGAATATGGCTAAAACTATTTTGGTTCTTTACTCGCATGTTATCTTTTGTTAAAATATGGCTACACAAATATTTTGATGTTATTTTTTGCTTCAAATATAGCACTAAAATTGTTGTTGATTTTTATTATGGTTCGTTGTTATCAATCTCCAGAAACAATCATGATCTTTTTTTAAGTTTGGTCACTTTTTGCTCAGGCTGTAACACATAAGAATTCCATTAATTGTTTTTTATCCAATTTGTAAATATATGATATTACTATTATTTATCAGTGTATATTATATTTAGTCAGGAAATTATTCAAGTGTTAATATTTTAACATAGTTGATGATCGAAGAAGGCGCGCCAGATGACAAGAAACCAACATAATGGGGTATTTGCGACCAGCCTTGATCTCAATAGCTGCCATGCCGCGACCTCATGGTCACATCATTACTGTTCGCTCTACTTGTCTATCAGGGCTTTGTAAGGAACAGCAATGGATCCTGATCACACAGACAGCCGGATGCGCAGGCTGGTCAGCCCGGCTGGTCTGATCCACATGTATGGTCGCAAAACCCTTTTGTTAGCGCTTTTGTCAATGGGACCGGGCTCTATATGTAATAAAGAATGATGTACACTATCTGTCGACCTGTTGTTTTGTATTGACTATCATTGATATTTGTAGGTGGATGATTCGTTTTTAGTACTTATGTGATTGCTTAGTTAAGTACTGTAAGTCACATAGTAGGTTCAGGATTGTTTATAGCTTACTTCAAAACTAGCATCTAGTCGCAAATCTTTAGTTAACTCACTCATCCTTTATTTCATCTCTTTCTATGCTCACATATAATCATACATAATTTACAGCAAGCAACGTCCCTTTTGAATAATAATCTCATCCGTGTTTATTTTTATTGTTTGTTATATTAAATAAAGTCAAGGCATAGTCCCCTTTAGGTCCCCCAACCCCAGACACCACATACTCCGCACAGAACAAAAAGGTGGAAGCATGGATTCAAAATCATTTGCCATCAAGGCCGCACTCTCAAAATTAGAAAATATTAATTGTTCAGGAAAATAGTATTGAGTATGTGCCTAACACAATGAGACGTTCAATATGGACAGCACTAGAAAAAGAAACTGTTGAAACCACGGTGATGCTCCCCGAAGAACCGGTTCTGGACAGCACGGAAAAGTAATAAAAAATGTAACAATAGGAACAAATCAATATAGGCAAAGCAGAGTATGTTTTTTTTGCACTGCCCCTGGTTCTTCATTCAAATTTGAGACCTTCTACCACTCTCTCTATTATCCACCATCACTCCCTCGAACTGTATTGATCCCATTATACACAGATTATACTTCAGACTATCATGTCCTTCGGCGTAACAATTCAGGTAAATACGTGATAATGAAAGGCATCCAACCTAATAACTGAGGAGCACATATGTTAATCTCTTTCCCAAAAGTATCTTGCATAGTAAGAGCCAGCATGTCTTTGTTTAGAGGTTCAGTTCTTTTTAGTTAGCATTGAGGCAGATTTCAGCTATCTCAAATCGATATCTAGCTTACCTACAAAGTTTTCATGTTCGATATCTCCTAATACGTTTTAAAGTTATGTCACCGGACAAATTGAGCTGACAAAAAGTACACACAAATAAACAATAGACTGCTATATAACCTTAACTTTAATCTTTTCATGTTCCTGATTAGCGGTTCATTCTTATAGTTTTTATGAGTATATGTTCCTGGACAAAGTTCAACATGTGTTCACAATGATAAACAATTAATGGTGGTCAAAGTGCAATAAATTTAACACATTATGGCAGGATAGTTACGTTGTGTTCTTGTGCCACAATGCCACACAACATTACTTCCATAATATAGGCATTTCTTAGTCCATATTCTACCCTTCTACCTACAAAGTGGGCGAGTGATTGATAACCTTTCGGTTATAGGTAGTTTATGGCATTACTCCCTACCACGTGAGACCAAGTGGTCAGATGGAGGGTCATAAAAGTAAACAAAGGGTACGTGGTCTGATCGTTGCTATCTATTTCTTGTACGTTTTATTTCTATCTCACTCATTTTTTTTCTTTTTACATGGCACACCACCTGTCTGATACCGTTTTGCCCATTCCCCTGTTGACACTTTCTGTTCTTGTTAGCTCCGTCCATTCGGTGGGGTGGGTTAATATGCTTTTTTGTTCGTTTGTATTTTTGTTTATCTTCTTTGTACGGATTGATTATTCCTTGATATCAACGTTTGCATGTATTTGTTGTTCATTTATTCTTTCAGTATTCACTTAGATTTGCGTTTACTTTGTGAATGATACTCTGCACCTTGTTGGTTGTTATGTCTGTTATGTTGGTTTGTGCGACGTGTGCGCATTCTCCCTCCCCGTCTGTCATGTTGTGTATGCTTATGAGGACCACCTTCGTATGCACACTGTCGCTTTTTGCATAGCAGTCGCCCGGCATGTTAACTTTCTTTCTGTGGCAGCTAGAGTGGTGTTTAGCCGTGCTTTCATCCACAGTTTGTGCCACCACGCGATTTTTAGCCGCAGTAGTACTACCGGCCACACCCTCTCATCACGCGTCCTGCGCTACCTTACATAACCCCAGTCACACTCGGACAGACGTTTCATTTTGTACGGGCTTGTTGGTTCACCCATCTCCTCGCTTCCCACGCCGCTCTGTGTCACTACAGGGGCTCACACCCCCCTAGTACCCTTCTTGTCCATTCCTGTCCCTCTCTCGGATTCACTGCACCAGGCTCTCGACGCTACGTGCGCCGACTGCAATGTGTTTTCTTGCCTTCTTTGTGTCAAGCTGCTCCTCGCCCGCATGCCCTGTATTCGCGGGAAGCGCGGTGAGCCCGGACTCCGATTTCAATGATTCCACTACTGTCATTTCGCACTTTTCACCTTTTCCTTCACTTACATGTCAGACAGTAATGCCAATCTCGGTTACTTCTGTTTGCGCTTGTATTTTGGACATCAAAATAAGAAACTCATAAATATCTGGACTCGGCGACCTTGATTGCATCGATCCCTAACGAACCAATGCAAGGGTAAACGATCCTGCGCCAATTGCTTATATACTATAAATGCCCTGTGAGGAAATGTAGAAAACTGTATGTAAAATTTGCCTAAAATAAATAACGTGTTTAAAGACACTATCAATTATTAAACAATGTTATGATATATGAGCCGCGTCATGAAAAACCAGCATAGTGGGATTTCGACCAAGCATGGATCCAGACCGACCTGCGCATCCGCGCAATCTGATCAGGATCCATTCTGTTCGCTATCAGTTTCTTCTCTACTTGCTATAGGGTTTGTAAGCGAACAGGCATGAAATCCTGATCAGACTGCGCGGGAATGCGCAGACTGGTCTGGGTCCATGCTGGGTCGCACACCGACCATTATGTTGGTATTTGTCGTGACGCGGCTCAATATGTTATGATATATAACGGAGACAATCTGTAATGTTTAACTAAGTATACATTATATATGAGTATATAAATAACTTAATCTGATAATGACAATTATTTTATCAAAATCATCAGCATGATGTACCTTTAAACATGTTTTAAATCTTTGAAACACAGTTTTCATTGTATGGATTGAAAGGTATTGGCCTTTTTAAGGAAAACGCAACCATTTCGCAAAATAACGGCCATATACGTGTGCCGAATCTAAATAAATATGTAATTAATTCATCCAGTTAACTTCCAAACTCTTTTCAATGATAAAATGCAGTGTGGCATGAAACATTAAAAAGGATCAATAAATTTAACATATGCTTTTGAAAGTGAAATATTTCTTTTGAAAACTTAAAGCACGAAATGTCTTTTAACTATAAAACTGGTTATCCAGTGATGCTTTACAATATAAAGGGGTTTTTATATTTATTGTTTTTGAATACATATTTGGAAAGCATCCATAAATGAGGTTTAAAACTTCTTGCCGTACTTGGGAAACTTAAAAAATAAATATTAACACTTCGCATGTTCTGGAATTGAAATATATATATATCATTAATTAATGATTTTATTTCTAGATCTATATAAAATATGACTGCATTTTACAATAATAAAGAACTGTTTGTTTTGCTGAGTGCGATATATGCATTTTCCTCAGGTATGCTATTTCATTGTTTTGCTGTTTTGTTGTTATTATTGTTGCTGTTTTTGTTGTTTGGAGCATTCTTGAAATGGTAAAATGTGATAACATTTAATATCGGCTAACACTGTGCATATGAAGACGATGTATGTTCGTTCAGTTTGAATGAACGGCAAATTAATAATGCATATAACCATTAGTGCCACAAGCTCCGTTTTAATATTCAAAACTAATAACTGATAAAAGTGAATCGTTAATTCACTGATGAGCTTAACGTCTCAATGAGTAGTTATGACGGTACTATTCGTATATTACTGTACGGAAATATTGTTTGAATACATTTTGGGAAAGTGTCCATACATGAGGTTTAAAAATTCTTGCCGTACTTGAGAAACTTAAAAAATAAATATTAACACTTCATGTGTTCTGGAATTGAAATATATATAATTTATTAATAAATTATATTTCTATATAAAATATGACTGCATTTTACAATAATAAAGAACTGTTTGTTTTGCTGAATGCGATATGCGCATTTTCCGCAGGTATGCTATTTTATTATTTTGTTGTAGTTGTTGTTGTTGTTGTTGTTGTTGTTGTTGTTGGGAATGTTACAATCGGCTAACACTGTGTATACTGAAACGATGCAGGTTCAATTTGAATGAACGGCGTCTTATTATGCATACAACCATTAGTGCCACTAGCTCCGTTTTTAAATTCAAAACAAATCGTTAAGCCATTGACGTGTTTGAAGCATCTTAATGAGTAGTTATCAAGACAGTATTATTCATATGTTATTAAAATCTTTACTGCATGATACGGGAATATATTTGGACGTGTATCACAGCTATAGTAACCGAACCTATGGTTGACCTATGGTATATTATACAGAACAACCTATTATTTATCCAAATTATATTATATGAGCCACGTCACGACAAAACCAACATAGTACGTTTGCGACCAGCATGGATCCAGACCAGCCTGCGCATCCGCGCAGTCTGATCAGGATCCATGCTGTTCGCTTACCAACTCTATTACAATTAGAGAAACTGATAGCGAACAGCATGGATCCTGGTCAGACTGCGCGGATGCGCAGGCTGGTCTGGATCCATGCTGGTCGCAAACGCACTATGTTGGTTTTGTCATGACGGGGCTCATATACCTTTTTCATAGTGGTCAATTATTGTTAACTATTGTTCGAATAATTGTACTAAAATATTTTGTACGATCTCTTCCATGTCGATTTTTCCCATGGTTGTCATAGCAACAAATAATGGTTGTGGCGAGGTACGCAGACGAGCTACTGAGGATCCGCAGAATCTGACATCCCCGAACTTCCCGCTGCCGTACCCGAGGTAAGATTAATACATGTATCTATAAAGTATAAAACTGCCTTGTATCATAGTTTGGGGACCTTTCTGTTGAAAATGTCACAGAGTTAAATCGTATACATATACATGCACAGTGCGTTTACTGGAGTGCAGGTATAAGTTACCCGCACTCCAGAGCATGCCCATTGATTGGTTCATTTTGTCCGGGGTTTACATATTGTGACGACAGAGAATGGGATAGCGTTGGAAATATCATATTCAGATGCTCGTTCATTGGTTACTTTTTTGTGGGGTTTCATATTGTGGTATCAGGGAACGTGTTTTTATGTTTGACTATGATACAAAAGAGAAAGAACATCAAAACACTCGGCAATCTGATTAATACTCGGGGCTACGCCCCCTCGTACAAATCAGATAGCCTCGTGTTTCGAGGCTCTTTCTATTACATATATAGATACAAGCATCTTATCCATGTATTCAGTATTACAAGCTATTCTATTGGTTACTTACTTAAGTGTGTGTTTGCGTGTGGTCGCGCGCTTGTGTATTTTATTATTCACCTTAAATAAACGTCAATGTCTTTTACCCCAAACACAGACAGTCCATTCACGTACTCAGCACAGACAAAATAAATGATTCGGCAAACCATGCAATTCTTAAATTTCAACCTTTGCGATATTTAACCGTTTTCCTGCCGTCCTGAATAACGGTCTTGTCCTATTAAAAGAAACTTAGATTTGAGAAACCAAGAGTATTGAGTCGCATCTTGTACTCTAGTATATAATCGGTTACATGTGTGTGAAGTAGAAGGTTGCTTAACTTAACATCGTTCATTTCCTTCTTTTTATTCGGTTCCTTATGAGTATTTTATTAGATCGTGTCTTCTTTTCATCTACTCGTTCGAGTTATCATCAATTAAAGATGAGGGTTAAATCCTATTGAAATTATTGATATTTAAAGGCACATTTTGCCTCAGAACAGCATTTTATTCTTCTTTATATTTCGAGTTTTATATCGTTGAAATAATTGCTTTAAAGCATTTGAGATACTTATCACTTGAAGAAAGTAGCGCCGAATCTGAAATTATTTACCATTAAGTAGCAAAATGTAAATAAAGTAGTTTTTTTTTTACTTCTCTCAAAATTCTAAATCACTATAACTGTGCTACTTCTTTAAGGCAAAAGAAGCAAAAGATGGTTTAGGAATAATGCCAATTAATGGATAATTTTTCGGAAACTCTTAACGTGGTATCAAAAATATTAAAAAAAATTTAGGAGAAGTAAAAATAAAATCATGTCTGGGGCATAATGGGCCTTTAAGATGGACAAAAGGCTTGACCATGATTAACATAAACTGAACATGCATTTGTTATTCAGGAATACGACATGTACTTGGTGGATATCATCAGTGTATTTCTATAGTGATATCTATATTGAGTTCAAACATCTTGATATAGAGGACAGCAATGACTGTGATGATGACAGCCTCACTATCTATCAACGTATGTATTATCTACGGTGTTCTGATAGGGCCATCATTTCTTCGCATCAGAGGAAGCCATTGCGAAGAAACGATGGCTCCAACGGAACACCGTAATTACTCTATACTGAACTGTCGCATATATTTCAAGCTTTATTGACAGGAAACCCTTACATTCCCAATCCGTGTATTAAAATAGCGAACATCTTGCTAGAGAAGGATGATTAATTTTGCTCCTCGGAACAATTCAGTCCTTTAGGAATTAAAACCCATAACGGCAACGTTTATAGTCACCGCCCTTTAACATTCAGCCATGGAATAATTCAAAATGATATCATTGGAGAAGTTCATAGTATTGTGAACTATACGTCAGTTCTTATAACGGAATATACAAGAGCATTTGACCATTCTGTCAATATGTAAAGATTTGTGAAAAAATAGACATTGCATTCAGTATCTGGCCTATCAATTCTTCACATTTGTAAATCTTCGACAATCTGAAAACAAACAGGTATAATGATTTGTCTATACCACCAGCATATAGCCAGGTCATCGTGCAGTGCCGTGCGGTCAAAACAGGCCATCGATCGCATCTTGCCGGCCCTTTCCCGAAAACTTCAGCCGAGAAGTTCCGATTGTCAAAACCGGCATGGGGGCTGGCTGTATATCAGCTGGCTTTCTAATTTGTTATTGTATAATCAACAAGGAATGGTTTTTGTTAAATTTCAAAAGAATGCAAAAATTAAGAACACAAATAATTAGCTTGGAAAGGTTAACCCTATAATCATTTGATATGAGCCACGCCATGACAAAACCAACATAATGCGTTTGCTACCAGCATGGATCCAGACAAGCCTGCGCATCAGCGCAGTCTGATCAAGATCCATGCTGTTAGCTTATAAACCCTATTACAAGTAGAGAAACTGATAGCGAACAGCATGGATCCTGATCAGACTGCGCGGATGCGCAGGCTGGTCTGGATCCATGCTGGTCGCAAACGCATTATGTTGGTTTTGTCGTGACGCGGCTCTTTTGATATTTTCTTAGATTACAAAGGAGACGAATTTGTTGTTAAGATATGTGGAAATGAAGCCGCTGACGAGACACTGAAGCTCGGTAGAGATGTCACCATTGTTTTCAAAACTAACAACGATATCGAACGAACAGGATTCGTCCTACAGTACTACATGGTTGATGGTAATTTTAATTTCTCTATTTTAATTTAATTGAAACAAATGAGAATACATGGAATAAAGAGTCGGTCGGCATTAGCCTGGTCCGTAACACCACGATTCTTTCGCTCAAGAAATGGGCGCGACTGTCGAGATTGGTTAGAATAAGTCTTATGTTGCCATCACAATCGAACTAAAATAGATCTGCATACATGTATCTAAAGACTTTACTACTAGTACCGGTACCGCAGCTCTCATACAGATCGTTATATTGATCATTGGGTTACAAACGCCACATTAATTTGTTAGTGTAGCCTACAAATTATTAAATAAATCATTAATCGAGGTGATCCAGCAGCATTTGTCCGTACCATGTGTCTGCAAAGGGGGGATGGACCGTCATTAAGCTTAGAATGCACAAACACAAGCAACATTTTCATCTGTGACAGGTGTCTCATTGCCATCTACATCATACGTATAATTGACATGTACGGTGTGTAATTGTCATCTGCGACAAGTGTATAATTGCCATGTGCGGCAAGTGGGTAATTGCCATCTGCGGCAAGCGTATAATTGCCATGTGAGTAAAGTGTTACACGGAATCGCTATGTTTCAGCTAACCTTTCCATTTTCAGACGACAGCAGGGAAAGAGATGACTATTATACAGAACGTTATAGTGACCATTGGTTTACAGTAGTGGTCGTCGTGTTCGTGCTAATTTTAGTGGCATTAATAATCACAATAGTTTTCGCCTGCTACTTTCAACGTAGACAAGCACGTGCCCAGAAACAGTCTAACATCGAGGACATACAATTCTCAGGATACGGTTTAGATGACGATGAATACAAAACACATATCTAGTTGTGTAAAAACAATTGTGATATTTTAGACTTGCAATGTTTCGTACCAATGTTTCTTGTTTTCCGTCCTTCTTCAATAACGGGTTAGAATTTAGTCTATGAATACACTTGACTTTTTCGATAACTGTTGAGTTACTTACACACGATGTGTTGTATGTGAACAAACCTCTATGATAGGATAATGAATTCAAGCACCTTCGCTAATTATTAAAGTCATGATCCGGAAAACAAAGAGCATGGCTGTTTAAGTTTAGTCCCCTGTCTTGCTCAACAGTGAAGGACATAACTACATTTATGCGAGTCCGCGTAATTCTACGACACTACTGGTACATGATTGTTACAAATCCAATATCTTAAAGGTGTATATAATGTGCCTGGCATGGTTATATATATCTGTGACGTGCAGGTCATACTTCTTGTCTTTAATCAATGCGGGTTGACATACAAACAAAAATACCATAACTCGGAAATAAATGCTCTCATGACAAATCAAGTTCATTGTTATCTGAAAAAAATATTCTAATAAATAATCTTAACAAATGTTTAAATTCATAACAAACAACTTTTAACTTTTAAGGATACAAATGTACTATTATTTTGTATAATTATATTAACAAGACTATAAAAGCTACATGTAGATATATCTACAATAAAAGATGTCTGCTTTTCAAATTAAGCAATATGCATATAATTATGATAGTGTCAATATCAAACAAGAACCATCGCAGGGGCCACGCTCGACTTTTTCTCTGCAACTACTGGCTGATTATAAGAATTATCAATACAAAAAGGAGATGCGCATTTTCTAGCCTTGTTCTTGTTCATAAGAGTTATGGCAGCCTTTAGTAAATGAAGTATCAACTGTGTACAAATAATTATTTCAATAAATAGCAATATCAAACGGGGTCTTCATAAGCTTGCTATAAACAAAGTTTGATTACAATATCTTATTCCTAACTAAGTTATTGTACGGAAACCATTTTTATATTTTAATTACGGTGACCTTGATCCCAGGGGGTCCAAATGCAATACCAAACGGGATCTTCATATAAGCTTGCTATACACCAAGTTTGATTACAATATCTCATTTCTCATTCCGAACTCTAGTAATTGTCCGGAAACCATTTTCTATTTTAGTTACGATGACCTTGATCCCAGGGAATCCAAATGCAATACCAACCGGGTTTCCACATAAGGTTGCTTTATACCATGTTTGATTACAAAACCTCATTCTAAACTCTAGTAGTCGTCCAGAAACCAAGTAAGTTATGATCAGGGTTATAGTTTGTGGGCGGCAACAGGAATGCAGACATGACTGTAACAATACATGTGTCTATATTGTTTTCTTCGAAAAAAGTCAAGCTAAAAACATGTCCATTACTGACATTAAAAACACAACAGGAAATTATGTGGAATATCATCAACAAAATAAAGACTGTAACTTTCTCAAGGTTTAATATTTACCAGCACATACAAACATCATTAACAAAAGTATTTACTTTTACCTTACTATATTAAAAGAAGTCATTATAACTGTTATTATACATGCAAATGTACATTTTATAGCTGGTTTCAAGAACAGGTATAAAATCCTATATAAGTAACTAAAGTTCACACACAAAAACAATTATTCAAAGAATTTTGCAATCAGATATTATTCTTAACTTCTGTATCTAGAATATAATATATTCTATGGAAAACATTTCACTTGTTTTGATATAAGTTGGCAAGTAAAACTTACAAATCACTTTTAAGGTTTATTCCTTGAACCCTTTAAACATATGAGAATCATAGAGAAATATGTTTGATATATATATAATACATATATATACAACTTAAGTATGTGGATTTACTATTCACCGTGTGTTTTTGTTATAGATAAATCTGTTCATCATTAACACTACAATATATCGTAAAGCATAACTGTCTCTTAATATACAATATACTGTGTGAAAATCTCCAAGAACACTTATTTCAATTCTCTCAATTATTCAGAGTCTTTTTCCTCCTTTGGGTTTATTTACTGTGATGGTAGAGCTAATAAAGTTTGCTGTCCGGAAGGGAGGTAATTAACATTCCGTGATTGTGATAGTTGGTAGGCAATGTCTTCAGCTGCTTCAATTTTTCTTAGTTCTACAAGACCTTCTCCTGCATCTCCTATGGCCCTAGCAACAAGTTTAGCTGCTTGTGATTCACCTTCAGCTCGAATAATGGCGGCTTTTTTTACTTGTTCTTCCTGTAAATTGACAAAAAAAATTGCATCAAATTATCCTATTAACACTCAAAATGTCATACCTTCCTTTATGAAAGAAAATAAATAGATTTAACGAAGTCAAACCCAAAGGTAAGACTTAAATGTTAATAAATACAGTTAATTTATTTCTTCTAACAAACCAATTAAATGCTTTACAAAGTTAAAGAACTCACAATACTTATTCAGTCCATTAATCATTTTTGAAGGTAAACATTTGAGCTAAGACTGAAGAAAAGACTAAAGAACACAGAGTGCCGACACAAAAATTGTCCTACATTTGACCTGCAAGGGTGAAATAAACTGGTACATCGGCACACATTACCTTATTGATTTCAGCCAAAGATAATCATTCAAGGGGTATTGGGTTTAAGCAGAGGACAGAAACTTGTCTTGACATTCAACTTTCAAGTGTGACCTTGACCCAGAACAAATGTGGCATGGGTTCTGCATATCAACTTGTTATGGTGAACAACTGTAACCCGTTTTAAAAAAAAATCCTTCAAGGGCCGTTAGGGGTATAAGATTTATAAAGCAGACATGAATTGCCTGACATGTGAAGCATAAGGATGACCTTGAGTCAGCAAAAGGGTTGCATGGGCTGGACTTTACAGCTATATTAAAATCCATCAAGAGGTAAAGCATTTATAGTGGGAACAAAAAATTGTCCAACAGTTGACCTACAAGGATAATCTTGATCTTGAGCACACACAATGACAGCATGGGTTCTTCTGCACATTACCCTGCTGATGTGAGCATTTGAGTCAAAGAAAATCAAATTTTAGAACAGTCACCAAAATGTCTGACCTTCCAAGGTCAAACCAACAGACTGATAACATAAAGGGAATCCAGCCCCCTCCATATTATGTGGTGTGGAGTAAAATAAAACACTGCTTTCTTACATTTCAACAGAACCATTATTATTGGACTAAAACTATGCTTACAACTAGAGATAAATTCAAAACAAAAATAATTTTGAGATAAATTCAAAGCAACAAGAATTTTAACAGACCTTTTCTACAAGATATCTTGCACGTTCTGCATCTTGCTGAGCAACTTGCTTTTGTTCAACAGCGCTGGTGAATTCCGCCATGAATGTTAAATGTGTCTACAAAATATAAACATAAATATGAAAATAAAATATGTAAATAAACTTTTAACATTATGCATAAAATATCATACCTTACTAATAATTATGATAGAAGATAGTCAAGAAAAAATAAAAACCAAAATGTTTTTCCCCACTTTTTGGGGAAACTATTATTTCAATGGCAGTGTTTTGAATAGTGAAATTATGTAAATTGGGAAATGTCAATTTCAGTAAGAGCTGACATGTAAACTTTGAATATTTAGTTTATACAGACCACTTTTTAGAATGATCAAAGTCTCATAGCAATTGAAAAACATTTACTTTTACTAAAGCTGTTTGAAAAAGATGTCAATTCTATGTCCAATGCTTTTCTATATTTTAGTTTGAACATATTCATCTTAGCTTGATTGTGAAACTTATATCAATCTCTATCCAATCACCAGTATAAGGAAATGTCATCCTGACTAAGAACGACTCAAATCTACAATACCTGGTTTGGCTTGAGAGGCAAACCCCTTAACCACTCTGCTCCCTGGTATATATTGGCACTGAAACATACTGGCACTGAAACACAATTAAATCTAACTTACCAATGAAATATCATCAAGCAATAAACTAAAGGAGGCTGCTCTTTTTGTTAGTTCTTCTCTGACCTTTGCTGATACAATTTCTCTCTGTGTAATCATCTCAGAGGCATCAAACTGTGCCTGAAAATAAAACAAACAGGTCTGATGCAATCCTTGATTACAATAATAAAGTAGTAATAAACCAAACAAAGCAAAAATCTGACTTCCCAAATCTAACTGTGAAGGTTTCTTTGTTACTCAAATATAAAGTACAAGGTCTTTGTGAAACCTTTTTCGTATCAGTTGACTCACCTACTCCCCTCTCCAAAAATAAAACTGATTTTATAACTGACAAATTCATGAAACATGCTCCTAACTTCATATAAAGCTGATGTAGTTCATTTTTCTCATAAGCTGGACATTTTCTGTTTTCATGATATTTATTTAATGCCTAAAATGTAGGCAGAATATTAGCCTTTTCTAATTGTCAAAGCTCTTAAAAATTCCTCAAGATTGTTAAGGTCACCTCCCCTCAATCCAATACATGACCTTTTCATTAAAAACCAAGAGGGCCACGATGGCCCTGAAGTTGCTCATCTGTATATAGGCCCCCGGAACGGGGCCAGTTTAAACCCCAGGGCTTTTATTTGAACAAACTTGGTAGACACCCATTAGAAGATGTTTCATGCTAAACATCTAAGGTCTAGCTCCTTGGGTTTTTTAAAAGAAGATTTTTTAAGTTTTTGCTATACACATATAAGGAAAATCAATGACCCCCGGGGCGGGGCCAATTTTGACCCCAGGGCTCTCATTTGCACAAACTTGTTAGAAATCCATTAGAACATGTTTCATGCTAAATATCTAAACTCTAGCTCTTTGGGTTCTTTGAAAGAAGATTTTTTAAGTTTTTACTATACACACATATAAGGAAAATGAATGACCCCCGGGGTGGGGCCAATTTTGACCTCAGGGCTTTTATTTGAACAAACTTGGTAGACACTCACTAGAAGATGTTTCATGCTTAGTATCTAAACTCTAGCTATTTGGTTTTTTTCAAAAAAGATTTTTTAAGTTTTTGCTATACACATATAAGGAAAATCAATGTCCCCCGGGGCCGGGCCAATTTTGACCCCAGGGCTCTCATTTGAACAAACTTGGTAGAAATCCATTAGAACATGTTTCATGCTAAATATCTAAACTAGCTCTTTGGGTTCTTTAAAAGAAGATTTTTTAAGTTTTTACTATACACATATAAGGAAAATGAATGACCCCCGGGGCGGGGCCAATTTTGACCCCAGGGCTTTTATTTGAACAAACTTGGTAGACACTCACTAGAAGATGTTTCATGCTTAGTATCTAAACTCTAGCTATTTGGTTTTTTTCAAAAAAGATTTTTTAAGTTTTTGCTATACACATATAAGGAAAATCAATGACCCCTGGGACGGGGCCAATTTTGATCCCAGGGCCCTCAT